TCCGCGCTACTTGGCATTCGCACAAAAATGTCAATACTATTTTATTGGAACATACAGTAATATAATTGTCGGCAATCGTAAATTTGGGGAAACTGTAACCAAAAATGAGAATTTATCTTCAAAAAAATAATGTCGTTCACGAAAGCAGTACCCAATCACAGCACACTTACCATACCTGTTAAGCATTGATGAGACGCTATTAGTCAATCACAAACGTTCTTGTAAACTCGGTAACTAATGTAAACAATGTCGCGAGGAAAGTGACAATGTGTAGCAATTTGGACGAAAGTTCTCCGGTTTTAGTGGAATATTTCAATATGATATAAGTATACCAGCCTTTAAATAAAATATATTGGTAATAATTGTAAGATTTTAGAGGTAGTAAATTAAATTTCCCGTCTTCTGTCGACTGTCATACCGTAGTTTTTTAAGCAAAAGTCGACCGTACTGTACTGAATGTGTACGGTATTGTATTACTTATCGAGGCCTACATATGCATAGTAGGAAGGGTAAGAAGTAATGTTCATCGACTTTGAATGAGACAGGAAATTCCTGTAAATATATAATATATTTTGATTCTATTTGGAATCGCTTTTTTTTTCTTTTTTTTTTTCTATAATTAAAAAAATGTACATTTTAAAAGAAAACTGAGGCTGAATTACTTCAAAAAATAATTAAGAACACATTGAGGCTGATGTAAAATTTCAAATGTTTTTATTTGCATGCAATGTAAATAAATAACATTAATCAGTATTTCTTGCCATGCCTGTTGATTTTTGTTTAACTGCTTGAAGACCTTGATAATATGGACTGAATTAATGAATAAAAGTAAAGCAATTACATGATTCCAATAAGGTGAAACAAATACATTTTTAATTTACCTCAGTTCAGCCAGTTGCATCCCATCAGCACTTTCATCATCTCTCTGATCACTCACTGGGTATATACATTTAACTACACAACAGTAAACACAAGGTTGAAAGAAGTTTATGACAAAAATCTGAACTTTTATATGAATATTATTGAAACACTGTAGCATATACCTACATAGAACTGCTTTAAACATAGCTGAATATAGAGTTCAATCAATCCACTTATGAACATGTGTTAAATATTACAATTATATAATATTATCAATGTAGCCAACCAGCATAAACAATTTAAAAGAAACTAGAAATAATGAAAGTTTTGCTGTATTCATTATCATTTATCAGCAAGTGCTGTTCTGTTATTTTCTTCTTTTCATATTGCATTGTAAAATACAATACAATGCAATTCAAAATGTCAATGCAAATTTTTATAAAGAAAATAAATGTGTTGTTGATAAATGTTCATACAAGGAAAAACCTTAATAATATCTGGTAATATTTCTCAACACAGTGTATGGTATGATGTCATATCAAATAGATAACAACATTCATACAAACAATATACAGTTCCAATCTGATAGGACTACAGTACTTTCAATTGATTCATGTTTCTATCCATGGCCTATAATATGGTCTGAATTGTCACTAGATCCTTATCCCCCATGTAGTGACAAGGCTTCATCCTGATTTGCAATAGCAGCCTCAAGTAATTCCACCCCTCAATGTTTCACATCTTACTAATTTCTCAATGGTTTTTGCTATATTAAAAGTACTTAATATATTATTGTCTTTTTACAAAAAAAAATACATGGGAGAACATGACTTCGACCAGGAAGCACTTCTTTAATTCTTGACTTCAGCTTTCAGGTGATGCAGAATGAGCATTTGCTTTGGTTGTGGTTCATCAACTTCCATTCACTTGATTCTGTGGTCTGTGAAAATTAATCAAACAAACTAATTCAAAGAGCTTATCAATGCTACTGTGATGGTTTTAATGATCAAATATATATTTAAATTGTTTCTTTTTAATCAAAGGTTGATTTCCAAAAAAAAAAGAAGAAAAAAGGAAGAAAAATAAGTAGTATCAGTATAAATACAATATTAAATGCAGGTGGTGATGTTTAATTGGACATCAAAGTGTTGATAAATATTATTTGCTTAAGTCAGTTTTGATACCTATTAATACATATAATTTTTGTTATGTTGTGTCTAAGGATTCCTATGTAGATAAAGCATACTGTACTATTAATATAATACTTTTGTTATATTCTTTTCATGAAGACATTAAAATCAAATTAAGCCTGAATTACTTAGTCTAAGCACAGTCACTGAAGGGCACATCCCCCACCACAAAAAACTGAATTGATTGAATTTGTGTAGTAATTGTTCTTGGTAGACAGTAGTACAGGTAAATAGTTGCTATATAATTGTGGATGGCTATTCTTGATTTGTCTACATGGTCAGTGTTTATGCTGGGTCGATTCATTGCCAACATTATTGTCTCAATATGCTTATTACAATATAGCATCATCGTATTTGATTCACAATACTCTGTGGTTATTTTGCTGTCGATAGTAGCCCAGTTTGAGGAAAAGGCAGGGCTTCCTGTTTGTGTGTGTGGTGTGATAGAGAGACGCTTAGTGCTTCTCAATTAAGTAAAACATACCATACCATTTTTAACGTTATATGTAACCACACACGTACCTTTAAACAGATTCGGTGCAATTTTGACTACTACTACTTGCACCACCATCCCTGAGATCCCCTTCGTTATATATGTAGGCTATTCATCAGCTTCGACGGAACCTTAATAGGCCTTACTGAGGACTCGTATTTGTTATTTTCCACAGAGTTGCACATCCTTAAATTTCTTTAAGCTGTTTACGCTTAATGACACAACCATACTCTAGGTTCTTACAACATGTATCACAAAAATATGCCTGAAACCGGCTCATATTTATCATTTGAAGAACTTCTGTCCAACACCATACTTGCAAGTGGAGTGTGTTGTTTACTATTTACACTGGACAAACGGCATAGAAGGTAGTTTGTGATTGGCTGAGGGCCTTGCAGCTAAGCCAAACTTTATTTTTAGTCGTCTTCTGATTGGCTATAGTTACGTAGCAACTTTTGATATAAATTCTCATTTTTGGTTACAGTTTCCCCAAATTCACGATTGCCGACAATCAAATTATGTTACAATTTATTAGTATTGACATTTTTGTGCAAAAGTCAGGTAGCCCGGATTGGTGGGTCACAGAATTGAACGTTTTCGATCCTCAACCCACGGTCTATTATAAACTAATTATTATATATTTAACGTCGCTATTTCTATGAACTGACAAATACTACGATTGCGATTGAAAATTTTTTTATTTATTTTATTCTTTTAAGTTCTTTATTGCAATTTAACATTACGTTTGAAAATAATAGACTCAGCTATAGGCGGCTTTGTAACAACAATCACTGGCTTACAAATTATGACTCTATGATCAGATAAACCAAGCACAGCTTCAGCACTCGGAACCTCGTAAAAAACAGCCATTGAAGTATAGATACAATCTAGAGTTGCGTTTTCTCTTGTATTGACAGTAACAATTTGGCGGCCATTTCTGAAATGCGGATTCTGCGGATTAGATTCTCAGTGTATAATACCAACAAATAATAATAATAATAATAATAATAATAATAATAATAATAATTATAATAATAATAATAATAATAATAATAATAGTAATAATAATATTATAATAATATTATATTAATAATAATAATATTATAATAATGTAATAATATTAGGCCTCATGCTATTTTTACCTAAATCCGCAGAATCCGCATTTTAGAATGGCCCAATTTGGTGCAACGGGTAAATTGTAAGAGCAGTGTCTTTCATACGATTGAAATCACCTACAATTGCAAATCCTGTATCAGGATGTTTGACGCAAATATGATCCGTACAATGCAAAATATGGTTATTCATTTCAAAATCTAAGATGGGAGATTTGTGCGTAATGTTAGAAAGGTTTTTTTGTAGACGCTTAGGGCGAAGCGTAACGAAAATGCTTTCAAACTTGCTATCTTGTAAATTGTCCCAAACTTTAAAAGAAATGTTCTCTCTAATATAAACGATAATTCCTCCATCATCTTGGTTAATACGGTCAGCTCTAACCATAGAATAATTATCAATTGACACTAAGCGGTCATCAGTGTCATAGGCGTAGATCCCGGGGGATGGGGGATATATCCCCCAATATTTGACAAGGGGGATGGTCCATTGTATCATCCCCCCCAATATTTTGATTATGTATGGGATAAAATGGAGCTTTACACACTTCAAAAGACTGTAATAGAAATAATTTGCACTGTCTTATGCGCTTACAAAGATGAAAATTAGCATAATGTGTTAATGTTGATAACAAAATTATTTTATCTGGTACCAATCTAAGCTCTTCTTTCCTTAGATGTTAGATGTGCTTGCAAAGAGAGCCACATTTCACACTGAAGGGTGTGTACGACGTCAGTAATGTTATGTCAATTCCAAGAATGTTTAAGGTTATATCGGTTGATGAGGAATTTATTGATTAGGCCTATTATAGCAACTTGCATCAATTTATTTTGCAAAAACAGGGTTTCCAGCTTCAGAGTGGGGCACATCCCCTGTCCGCACAAGGGCACACACCAGGCGCGTAACAGCCGTCTTGGGTCAGAGTGGGTATTTATTTTCCCGGTTAGTAATTTACCATACCCACCACACGCCACTCCCCATATAGAAAACAATACGACATAGGGCTTATCTTATTTATAATATAAGCCACACACGTGTGTTTCAAACTAAATATAAGCATTTTCATCATGGTTTTTGTATGATACCCAGAATATCAATAAATCACAGCTCACCACTATCGTAATAAGAACAACTGCTTCTTTTTTAAACAACAACATACGATCTCTCGTGAACTCTACTCTAACCCCGACCTAACCGGTCGCTAGGCAACTTAGGCCTAGAGGGCGGTATACCACTTACTTAGTGGTTAACATAGTAGCCCTACACCTCCCCCAAGATCTTTAAACTTTAGGAATGATCTTCAAACAATAAAACATCACATAATACTCAAAGTTCATTCTATACAAAGTCGTTATATCTCGCTGGCTTTCGCGCGACTCTTTCAGGTCGCTTTGGAGTATGGGTCGGCGTGGCATTAGGCACTCCAATGGAGCTGGGAGTACGCTTCCTAATATACCGTCGATTACGTACGAGAATTCGACCGCCTTGGGTTCGTATGAGGTATCTTCTGTTCGGACCAATTTCCACCACTTGTCCATAGATGTCAAATCGTTTAGTGTGGTGATTGTAAATGCTGATGTTGTTTCCAACTTTGATTTCAGCTAACTGCTTTGTGTGGAGGTCGAAGTAATCCTTTTCATATCTTTTCCCCCTTGCAAGATCTCTGTCTGCGTCGTTGATGGTCTTTAAGTATTGAGGCTTAAATGATCGATGATAAGCAGGAAGAGTATCTTGTATCGGTGTACCGAATAACTTCACTGCCGGGGAAAGTCCATCCTTTCTAGATGGGGTGTTTTTGTAGTGAAGCAGTGCTTTAGCGAGTAGGTCGCTATCAGGTGTACGTCTCTCTCGTGAGACTGATTCTATGATCTTCTTCATGGATTTCACTGTTGCTTCCGCCTTTCCGTTTGATTGCTGATGATACGGCGAACTGTAATGGATATTTATTTGCCAGTTTCGTGCAAACTCCTTAAAAGAAGATGACGTAAATTGTGATCCTCCATCACACCAGAAAACGTTGGGTACACCAGTATTCATGAAGACTTCTCTTAGCTTTGAAATAGTTGCATGGGACGTTGTGTCCTTGCCCATTGCAATAACGGTGGGCCAATCAGTGAGGCAGCACACTAATATTAAGTAGTTTTGACCGTTAAGGTGTGCAAAGTCTGCAGCAAGCTCTTGGAATGGCCTGCTTGGCTTCAATTTTTGGATCAATGGTTCCTTTGAGTTCATTGGAAGATGATCTTGACAGAACTGACAATCATTGATGCATGCCTCAATATCGGTGTCAATTCCTGGCCAATAGATAATCATACGTGCCCGGTCTTAAGCGCGACGAATTCCGGGGTGACCATGGTGGAGTTTTTGCAACATAGTTTGGCGCAATGACGTTGGGATGAGTAATCGACAGCCATATACAATTAGGTCATGATCAACAGATAAGTCTGGATGGACGCACCAGTATTTTTTCAAATGATCTGGGAGGTCTTTTTTCGATTCAGGGAATCCATTGATGATCAAGCGTTTTAATTCTTGGTACTCGTTGTCAGTGTTGGAAGATTTCCAAACTTGAAACAACCTTGCTTCGTCATTTTTGGGACTGTCGGCGACAGAACGTATAGCAGATATGGTCGGAGCTTCGTCCACATGATCTCCATTTACAATAGGTTACTCGGTCAATTCGTCTGAGGTGTTTGGCGGCTCATGTGGATGTCTGGAGAGTGCATCAGCTCCTAAATTCTCTTTGCCTTTCATCCATCTGGCATGATAGTTATATCGCGACATCCTAGTTCGGAGGCGTTGAAGTCTGACATTCATGATCTCATCTAGTCTGTGTGTGTTGAGGATGGGTACTAATGGATGATGATCAGTCAATATTTCAAACTTGGGTAGGCCTTCCAGAAACTTATAACACTTTTGAGCTGCCCATGCTACTCCAAGCATTTCTAATTCTATGACAGCATAACGTGTTTCAGTGTCACTCAGGTGTCTCGAGCCTGCCTGTACGGTTTTCCATGTGCCATCACTGTGTAACTGCATCAAAACGTATCCAATACCAATTCTACTTGCATCCTTTATCAGTCGTGTAGGTTTGGTGGGATCGAAATATGCCATTGTTGGTGCCTTAGATAGTTCAGATTTAGCACGCTGAAATGCAGCATCATGGTCACTGTTCCACACGAACTCATTCTTTTCGGAAAGAAGTGGATGTAATGTTGTCATGAGTTGTGTGATCTGACCCGTGGAAGATCCAAGTTGATTCACAAACCCAGCGAATGACCTTAAGTCAGTTCTTGAACTAGGAGTGAAGAACTGTCTGATTGCTTCAGTGGTTCGAGGACCAATAGAATATCCTTCTGCTGACAGTGTGAATCCAGCGAATTCTACAACAGGCTGGCAAAGCTGAATCTTGTCCAATGACAGTGTGATGCCCTTTTCTTGGCATCTGGCAAGGTATTCTCTCACTACTCTGGCATGCTCAGCAATGGTTTTGGTAAATATGATCACATCATCTACAATCCTGCAAATGCCTCATCCATTCGTCTATTGTAGTGGTCAGATATGGACGATATGCCATATGGTGCACGAAGGTATTTGTACCTGCCGTGAGTACTTGACTGTACTTGACTGGATTCAGCCAGGGGACATTGGTGATAACCTTTTACAGCATCGATAACTGTGAAGTATTCTGCCTGTGATCCAGCTATATCGGCGACAGCATCCTGTGGAGTCGTGTGCGGATAGTATTCACGCTGGACACTCTTGTTAAGTCGAGAGAGGTCAACACACATACGAATCTTGTTCGTGTCTTTCTTCGGTGTGACCACAATGGGTGCACACCAATCAGCGTGTTCAGTGGTTTTCTTTATGATACCTTGTGTCTCAAGTAGTGCGAGTTCATTTTTCAGTTTATCTGTGTAAGCAAATGGAATTTTGTGTGGGGTGCTAACACAAAACGGAGTGGCGTTGTCGGCTAGTTTGATGATGAACTCTTCACCAGGCATCGATCGAATTTTACCGTCAAGTGCTGATGGAAACTCTTTGCGCAAGGCCTCGATAGTCAGTCTAGGTGTCGGAACTGGCCTAGTTTGTTTGACTGGTGTGCGTTGTCGTTCTACGGCGACAACCGACGGAAGGAACTCTTGACGGTGATTGCTTTAGTTGTCGGTTTTGTTGTATTTTTACGTTACCCCGAACGACAGAGAGAGGCATAGTGTCCCATCTTGTGACATATGTGGCACTTGGAATTAGATGCAGGACAGTTGGACTGTCCTCTAGCATGGCTGTCACCACAGTAGCCGCATTTGGTTGGTCGTGGTGTGTCGGGTTTCGCCGTTCGTGGGTTCTTTACCGCAGCTGAAGTTGGCGGCGCCCTTGACATCTCACATCGTTGTTTTTTCGCAGATGATAGTGCTCGTACTTTTTCAATAGTCTTATCGAGTGATAGACCATTTATTGATAAAAGTCGTTCAGTGATAGTTGGGTCAAACAATCCCTCCAAGATTTGGTCCCTTATTGCCTTTTTTTCACAATCGGCGTTGCAAAAATTACAGTCACTGACTAGGTCTCTGAGGGAGACTAAGAAATCGTCGAAGTCCTCGTCAGGTCCTTGGGTTCTAGCCCTGAATCGTTTACGTTCTACGGATTCATTTATTTGTCCTTGACCATATTGCTCCATGGCTCGGATTATTTTATCCGTTTCTTTTAGGTCAGCTGCTGTCAGTCCAAGGTTCATGACAATTTTCAATGTTTCTATGGACATTTTTAGCACGTTTACCTGGAAATCCGGCGTTTCTTTATCTAGGCGGGTCACTGACTTGTATGCTTCCCACTGCTGCTACCATACCTTGAAGTCAGATGCCCGGTCAGATGATAAGGCTAGGCGAGGGGCCTCAAATTTACAATTAAATTTCGGTGGCATGCTGTAGTTACTGAGTGATGTCGTGCGTGAAGACTGCACTGCAATCAAGTAAGATGCTCACAGCGCCATGTATGATACTCAGAATATCAATAAATCACAGCTCACCACTATCGTAATATGAACAACTGCTTCTTTATTAAACAACAACATACGATCTCTCGTGAACTCTACACTAACCCCGACCTAACTGGTCGCTAGGCAACTTAGGCCTAGAGGGCGGTATACCACTTTCTTAGTGGTTAACATAGTAGCCGTACAGTTTTATTTATTACAAACATATTCTTTCACCATCAATACACGAGGCTCTTCTTTTAGGTTAAAACAATCTATCTTAAATCTGTCTTTCTTGAGTTTTGGACTATTATGTGTTTAAATAACTTAAAAGAATAAACCTAAAAAAGCCCTAAAAACGCAAAATATTTTTGTGTTTTTAATTCTAATTTCGTCGGAATTGATGAAAACTCCCTAAAATGTGCAATTTATAGGGGAAATTGGCCTACCGTAATACCGAAATTTGAGGTTTTTAGGCACTTTTAGGGGGTGAAAAGGGCATTTATAAAGGGGTGGGGAAGATTTTTCAAAGATTAAGATATTTTCCCCTTGTCCCCCAGTGGTTACGCCATCGGGCAGCATAGATGAAAGGAGTTATGACAGTTTTTGAAGTGGAG